TTTACTCTCTTCTCTCCGCTTCCTTCGTTTCGTTCCTCTGATTTCCTGTTCAGATCAGTAAGTGTACATTCAAAAGTCCATTCTTGTATTTGACTTATTTAATTCCGTTATTGACTAACACAATTTAATTCAATGATTATATACAAAGATTGACAATATGTATATCTGAATATCAATCATTCGTACGATCCAAATGGAGTCAGATAAGGTTCCCATTAAGGTAATAAACAAATACGTTCAAAGTCGAGTAAAACAAATATATTCAAAACACAGTGAAACAAACTATATCTCATGTAACAATCTTTGATCACTTAAATACTTACAGTTCCTCCTGTACTGACCTATTCAAGGTAGTCATAAGAAAATCTAAACATTTCGTCACGCAAAACATGAATTTATGGACACAATAAGTACTGATAGACTGAAACCAACCATTTTAAATAATAAATCATACGTGATGTGAGACTGTCAACCAGACAATATAATTAGAGAATTAAAAAAAATCAGCGAAAATCATTCGTATGTTATCAAAGGATGATTCAACCTGAGATACCTAGATATTTATCTCAACCCTATAACCCCACCATATTTACATCGGAAGGCTGTTGTTGTGTGCATTAAAAATAACATGAGTAAATTATTTATGCATATCTTTTCGTTATCTTTTTAAAATACAGAAATAGTATCGAAATAATAATAGGCTTAAGTAGTATTTTGCACTAACCTCCTTGAACCTTTCATTTTGTGTATTATAGACCTTCGAGACAGACTCTTCCTTATCCCTTTAACTTTAAGATATCTCAAGAAGTAGGTGATAGCTGGACGGATCGCGGGAAAACCTTACTTCACCAACAAGATGTTGAGAAGTTCAGCCGCGGCATGCCCTCAGATTTCTATATTTCGCTCTTGTGCCTTTTACTGTTTTACCACTGATGACTGGCACCCATATGACAGGTAAAACACGATATGTGCGACAATTTGTAGGAAGAAGTATCTCTTTAATCCCCAACTCAATGTGTCATTTGGCCCTCTCCTCTCCCTTTGCCTTCAGGACTCGAAGTTCGGGATTGTGTCGCGATGCAGCTTGATGATTTCCGGAATGTTTGTCCCACATATCTTCAGAATCTGGTCCTAATATCGTCTTCATTTGGAATCTGGTTTGGCCTCTCTCAGAGTGGCTTGTTGCTAACGTCATCCCGCGAATAGATGTTGAATATCTTGCGTAGGCGACTGCCCGTAGTATGCGCTCCGTATGATGTTGACAATCTTCTCGGGTATATCAAAGTGTCGAAGAAGGTTCTATAAGATTCTCCTATTCGTGCCGTGTAACGCTTCCTCTTAGTCAGGGAACTTGATGTATAGTAACGTATTCCACTCATCTGACTGCTCAACAATTTTTCGTATTGTAGCGATTGGTTCTGTGCACGGGTGATCCTTACGGAATTCAGATTGCAGATCCGGAATTCGGGCATCTGCTGAAATTTTCGGCCGGCTCAGCAGCACTCTGTTGAAAACTTTTCCAGGTACTGGTTATATTTTCAAAACTAGGTCATTTTGGAATAATGAATAACTGTTTAGGTTATTTTGGATATAAACTAGCGCGCGATTAAAACCAAAACAAGGTAATTGGGTTCATGGTGGCAAAAAATTTCGTTACATCCTCAAATGTACATTATTACCTAAAAAATATTTCCAGCCAGTTATTCAACCAATAATTGCACAACCAGTAGTCAAATCATGTGCAACAGATAAATGTTCCCGTCAATACTTAAATGTTATTCTATCATTTATGGATAGACCACATACAGTGTTACAGGAGAACTGAAAACATTTGGCGGATTAAAACCTTTTTTATTGTATAATAATAATTTACTGTGTTTTCGGGTGTGTTTGTTTTACTCAACTTTTGAACTCGTTTGTTTATATCATTATTTCGGACATTTTGGTTTCCCTTTGTCGTTGGTAGTTTTGCTCCGGGAACCTACAAAATTGAGGGTTTGTTTTGTAATTGTTATAATTATTGTTGTTAGAACGACATTTGATCGACTATTTGTGAATTGCGAATAAACTTGGTATCTAAGTTGGAGTTTGGTCCTGTTGTTAATTTGGGTTCGTAATTTGCAAGTAGATCTATAGTCCGTGCTTCAATAACTGGGACGAGCAAATTTTGGGCGTAACATGCAGATCATTCGAATGATAATATTTAACGTTGCTACGTATATATTGGAGGGATTAATATATCACCTAGGACCGGTGGATGGAACGAAAGTCAGTAACATAACAATAGGACTAGCTAATCCATTCGACCGCGCCTCAGCCTTGCTAACTAGTGGTAAAAGACCAGATTTAGCAGGGAATTATATACTCTACAGTAAGCGCAGGAGAAAGAACAAGCAAGAACAGAACTCATGCGTATATACACAACACAAAAGTGCCGATGAAAAACATCACGAAATAGCGTACTAAAAGAGAAAACCAGCCAATCGTATTTAAGATTCTTCCAGGTAGGAAATGCAAACTGAGGGTAAAAATGGACACTTTTGGAGCACAAATGCGAAATTTAAATTCAGTAATAAAATTAAGAAAGTGAGAGGTTTACTAAATGATTTCTGGGGATCTAGCATTCACAGATGTTTTAAGGGTTAGAGCATCCAGTTCTGGAGGAGTGTTTCAATTCACAATCATAAATGCACATTCCCAGTCAGTTCAAGCAACGCAATAAAAAAGAGAAACAGATCAATGTGGCTGCCACCACAACTAAATATTAACTAAAGCCACATGACAATTCAGTGAAAACGTAGGGAAAACAAAAGTTACGATAAAATGCGAAGTGTACTATCTCAAATGGAATCAAAAGATCAACAAAATATACAGCTTAACGGATCAGGGAGAATAGGTCACAACAGGGTGTGCGTGGAGAGATTTACGTACACAAAGCTTCCGATTAGATCCATATAGCTTTGTTTATGCGTTTGTGTAGAATTATTGTGCCGCCCATATGATGTTGAGGCAGTAGAGAAGATTTGTAGCTCAAGTGGATGGTTTTAATGAAGTTTTGTTGATGACGCCGTTCAGAGGAACAGGGTTAGCTCCATGACCAAACCATTCAGCTCAGAGAACAAAACTCCATCAAAATACTATGCCACCTATAACCAATTTGTTGAACGCTAATAGATTTGCAAAGCTCTCTCCATTCTCGTTCCTTTCTCCCAGTCCATGTCGTCCAATGATATCTTCATAACCGTTGTTTTTCATTCCAACTTTGGCGTTTATATCTCCCATCAGGATGGTCAGGTTGTTTTCCGGGCACTTTCCTATGATCGATTTCCACCTCTTATGAAACTGATATTCATCATCTTCATTACTATCACTGGTGGGTGTAATCGATGTATATATGGTTGAATAATGTTAATTTATTCGGCTCTCAACCCCCCTCTGTACTTTCTAGCCTGCATTAAAATTTCTGGTGGAATTCCCCGTGTGTGCTTGTGACTTCGTGATCTGCGCTGTTCGATAATAAACTATATACATATCGTCTGAAATATATACACTGTTAGTATTTATATAATAATGGTTACCAGGAAGATAGATATGCGAAGCATCAGACATTATCTCGAAGATGTCACACTATAAATTTTTCAAGTGTAAATAAAGCAAACCACTAACTTTCCAAAGGTAGATTTGAAATAATTCATGTAATTAAAAGCGAAGGCGCCTCTTTGTTATTGAAACCCAGGAGATTAGCTCCTGATAAGCTTCATGTTATAGCTGAAGATATTCCATTCCTCCCCTAAAATCAGTCACATCACCCTTACACATGGTCTCAGAGAAAAGCGAAGGTAATAGGCTGTTATATGAGGAATAAGATCTTACCCGTCAATCTGTACCAGATAGGTAACAGTTGCTATGATGTCAAATATACCGACCAAAGCAGAGAATGAGTTCAAATGAAACAAAAAATAGTGGGTTTTGGTGCTCAGAGAATGACTGAATGCCTAGTCAAAAGAGGAAACATTTATGTTCAATTAAAAAGATTTATTTTCGATAATTTCAAGACAAATAAAAGAACGATATAAACCAGTGGTCGATTTCTGTTAATGCATAGTAGGTAGAAATTTAAATCTTTATAGTTTCGGTGTTTGTTTTATTTTACTAAGACGTAGGGCGGTCCAATTTGTGGTGATTGTCACGTTGTTTTTGGAATCCTATTTAGCATGGACCCTAGTAGGGTGGTTGAGGCATTAAGTAATACTCTGTTGGCAGAAAAACAAGGAAATGGAACAAAGATACTTGATGAAGTAAGCGAAGCTACTTATTGTTTATTTCCAGATGCATAAAATTATTGGATTTGTTCCCACTCTATTGAAAATCATCCTTGAAGAGAGTATTGATGTGGGAGTACGACAAGCAGCAGCTCTCTATTTTAAAAACAACATCTCTGAATGGTGGAAGCCCGATGAGTCAGACGAATCTGGTGAATTAAGATTTTGTATACATGAGCAAGATAAGCAGGCAATCAGAAGTTCTATTGTAGCAGCTCTTGTCTCGGCGCCAATTCCTTTTCAGTAAGACATTTTTCTGAAGTAACTTCCTAAATAAGAACTCATCTCCAGGTTGCTCTTTCCAAAATAATTAGGCATGATTTTCCTACTCGTTTTGAAGAGTTCCCTGAACAAGTAAAGCATTTTTTAGAATCAAATGATCGCCATCATCTTCGAGGAGCTCTTCGTTGCCTTTATGCTTTTGTTGAAGTGTATACATACAAAAAGAACGATGAACGCGCAAATACGGTTTCCACGATGCAAGTTTTTTTTCCAATCTTATATTCAACGTTGTCGAGTCTCATCGTTGAAGAATCCGAGGATTCTTATGTACTTCAAACGCTCATTATCAAAATATTCTTTTCATTTATAAATTACCATTTCCCACTGGATGCAATGAATAAACAGGTATGTCATTTATTTCTTACTCCTGTTTAGTTATTTACTCATTGGATTGATATGTTCTGTACTATACTCGGTGATTTCAAAGTGACTCATTCGGACACTTCAAGTTCAACCTGGAAACGGCAAAAATGGGCTTTAAAAATACTTAACAGGGTTTTCACCCGGTATGATGCGTAGAAATCACTAACTCCTTTCAGTTATGGTAGTCCTGGCTCAGTCATTAAGCTATATCAACCATTCGCTGACTGGTATCTTAAAGCCTTCTCAGGGCAAATAATATCAGTACTTCTGAATATATGTGAAGCATACAGACAAAAATCATTCGTTTCCAAGCCTGTGCTTAGTCAAACACTGGACTATTTTTCTTCGGCGTAAGTAAAACACAATCCAACTTGTTTTTGTAGACTGGCTAACTCATTTTCATGGAAATTGCTACGGCCACACTTCTCTCTTTTGGTCCGTGAAGTTATATTCCCGCTAATGTCATATACTGAAGAAGATGCAGAATTATGGCAAGAAGATCCAGTGGAATACATTCGAGCAGAAGCTGGTAAGATTCTTTCTTTTTTCTTCATTTTCAGGTGATTGGGGATCAGTATCTAGTCCAGCAAGTGCGGCGTCTACGCTTCTAAGTGAAGCATGTGTTAAACGACGTGGTGTTCTCAATAACATAATGCCGTTCTGCATTCATATATTAAGTTCCGAGAGTTCTCCTATTGAGAAGGATGCTGTTTTGCACATGTACATAGCTATAGCTGAAATCTTATTGAAAAAAGCTGCATACAAGGTATGTTCGACAACACTTATGTACTTATCTTTCAGTCTCAATTAGAATCATTTCTTGTAGGTCATGTCCTTCCGACTTTGCATGCTCCTGAAGGATATCGTCGTGCTAGGGCTTATAGATTGCTGGAGAAATTATCAGAGGCTAAATTCAATGACCAAAATATATTTGCCCAAGTTGTTGATGAAGTGAGAAAAGCTGCATGTTTTGATTCGGAATTGCCAGTTCGTGCGTTTGCTGCACTCTGTCTCTCAGAATTAGTTCGGTGTCAAGAAGCTGGTGAGTTAAGCGTGATTATTCTGTTTATTAGAGATGTGTACAGTTCATGGTACTCCGGATTTATGTTTATTAAAAAGTTTGTTTGAATTCTTAAAACGTCTGAATTATTGATTAAAGATGTGTTCTTAAGACACTGGCAGCAATATAGTTCATTTAAACTCCAAAGAACAGTTGTTAGGAGAATATTCAACTTGGTTAAACTGTTGTGACAGGTCTGTTCATAGCTACCCACTACACCCTCAAATTGATCTGTAGTAATAAGCGTGTGTTGAAGCTTAGTTTCTGTGTAGAGTGTTTTAAAATTTGAACTGGATGGCTTCTGAAAGTTCATTTTTTCAGATACGACAAGCCATCGCATTAGCAAGACAGTCTACTAGTATGTATGTACAAATAACTCGGGTTACGGTAACAATACTAGTTTTTTTCTATCTAACAAAAGTCCATTAGGTCAGACTTTACAGATTGGTGACCAATTTGCTTAGTGACATTGTGACATAAGAATTACATGAAACAGCAATGCTCCAGAATCGTTTAACACCTTATATGTACTATGAAAATATCTTGCTTTTGCTGTAACTAAAAATTTATTTTCTTTCAACTTCATTTAGCTCATCAATTTGTGGCTCCTCATCTACGCGAACTTTTGATACGTGAGTGATTTTATGAAAATTAATTGGTAGTTGATTGTTTTTCATAACTATCTTTTTCTAAGGAGGTCCTTTCTAGCAGCGATTATGGTTTTCGAAATGCTTTGCATAGCAGGTTTCCTCTTAGTTTGTTGGTTCACTTAATGCGATAACTCATTCCGTTTGTTGGGTAATAATTAAATCAGCGTTCACCAGGTATTGGGTATAAAGCACACTAAGGGTGGGAAAGAACGATACTACCCGATTGTCTAAACTAAAGTGGACGCGACAGGGCTCAAATTTAGGACTTAGTTATTAAGAGTCAAGTACATCAACTACTAAGTCACTGCTTCATCTTCTCTAATATCGTATGGATTTGATTAATCGTAGTTTTTTGATAATTGCGATTTGAATGTGACTTACCAGTTTTTTGTCCCACAGGGAGATGCTTTTAATAACATGCAATTACGAGAGCTCAGTCGATATTTTTACTAGGCACTGTTTATTACTTTCATAAAGGATTTATGATGCCTTGTTACGTTAAACGTAGGGGTATGCCCACAGGATCCTGAGCATTTGTTTCAGTCGGAAGCTCTTATAGTATGTAGGCGTTTTAGCGGAACCTTACAGATAAGACCATGCTTTCAACAAAACATGTGGATTACCATTCTAAATTCTTGGAAGATTTCAGCCGTAGTTAAATTTCTTAGTGTATTTTAACGGGGTCATAAATATACCACATTTAATGTTTTCACTTAAAAGTATTGAAAAGTCACTAAATAACAAACCTTAAAATATGTATGCAGTCCAGTTAGCATACAGTAGGACGAAACGGCCGTCCAGTGCTTCCAGGTTTCCAAAGGTGGTGGTCTAACATCAATCGGTTCATGATCTCAATCAAAAACTTAATAATCTCCACAACCCCTATACTAGCATGCATTAGTTGGCATAATATACCTGGTTTTGATTTCAGAAAGTAACAACCCATTTAGGATTCCCGGTAGAGGTTGTGTAAGATTTCATGTGACTTCCGGACCATTCTATAATTACTAAAAGCAAGTAATTTCCTAAAGTAACTGTTTTTTGGTATCCTGTGGTTAAATATAACTCTATGCACTTTAAAGCACCCAGTTTATATCAGTTGCAGTAAGTTTTACGTATTTATCATCTATACCAAGTTTTTGATCCTAATTTTTCTCTTTGTTGCTTAGTAAGTGCTAATGCCTATCTAAACACATGTAAAATAAATTTAATATGGCTGTTTCTCCAGTGAACCGAGGAGTTAGTTGAAACTGTATTTACTGTCGTTCGATATCAACGATTCATGTACGAGCACATATGAATCAGACGCAAAACAGTGTGTGTTTAGGGGCTTGAATTGTTTGTATCATGTCTTATGACCTGTGATTTTTAATATAGCGTTGTAAAACAATCAACATGGTTTTGTAGAAATCTGTACATTTTAGTATTTTTTGTGCACCTAAACACCATAAATTTCAACAAGGGAGGAAGTTTAGATAGAGCATTTCTTTTTCCTGTGTTTCATGTTGAGCAAAACTAATAGGTTCTGCTACTCCTATCTATCTGAAAACGAATATACTCTTTATTTAGGTAACTGTTAGATTGGACTAGTAAGCAGTGCAGGAAGCTGTTTGCTAGAAATCCTTTTAGCTCAATTTGTCTCATTATTTTAGTAGTGTAGATCTTTGTCTCATAATATTTTGGCAGTTTTATTCATAGTACGTTCACTTTCAGGTTTATTGGAGCTTCTTCGGCAAACTGAATTCGACGATTTAAACAGTGTAATCGAAATATTAATACATACATTTGAAAAAGAAATAGTTCCAATCGCTTCTGAAGTTATGCAAACATTGGTATGTTTTAATCAACATAACTGTTATTCAGTTAATTGTTTAGCCTGATTTTTTAGGAAAGGGTTTAGGTTTACATTTTTCTAATTGAATTTTGGTGTCTTTTTTCCTCCAGTCAGATACGTTTCATCAGCTCGTTATTAAATCCGAGTATGAATTAAATAGGGAACTAATCGAGCTTGAGGATACAGAAGATCTCTTTGAGTACCGGTCAATAGTTGCTACAAGTGTTTTAGATAATATGGAGTCTATTCTGCAAGTTGGTGAAGATAATGAAAACCTTGTTGCTCAGCTTGAACCCATTGTTGTGCATTTGATTCAGTCTATATTCAACCATAAATTAAGTGTGTTCTTTGATGAAGCTCTCACGTTCATTTTCTCGCTGACAACTAACAAGATTTCCCCACTTTTGTGGCAACTTTTCGATCAACTCTATCCTGTATTCAAAAAAGATGCTTGCGAGTGCTTTTCCGGTAAGTATTTTATGCATTTAGACCTCAGATAAAATCTGTATAATACCCTACTTTTTCAGCAATAATTTCCCTCCTAAACTCCCGGTAAATATATGATTTAGGCTAATTTCGTGTACTAGACTATTGGTCATATTCTCCAACAAATGGAATTACCAACTGGCTATTTGATAATTATGGGTTAAAAACCTTGAAGACTTAGAAAACTGATGAAAGCTCTAGTTGCATAATTCATTCTTGTTTCATATTATTTTATTACTAGTAGTATGTCGTTGGTTTCCGTTGTGTGATTAACATTTATTTATATTCCCAGAGCAAAAAATCACTAACTGACGTAATTGACTTGAAGTTTTCATAAGTCATGCTTTACAAAATCAGTATTAAAAGATTTTCGTGAAGGACGTTTTGGGATTAGACTCAATTAACTCAAAGCAAAGTTGAGTGAAGTGATGCAAACCAATTTCCTTATGTTTTAAAACTGAAAGATCCCATTGTGTCAAAACAGACTATCCTACTAAACAATGATTCCTAGTTGTGGTACGTAGTAGCAAATAAAAGTCGTTTCCTTTTATCAAGATTCTTCTTGTTCATGTTTATGCTTGATTGGTGCATATTATTTAGATTTATCTCAATCTTATTATAGGTCTGCTCCCTGTTGATTTGGTAGTTGTTAAGATTGAAACTTGTATCCTCAATGTAAGCAAAATCGTTCATTTGATTCTCGAATTAGTGTCAATTCTTTACTAACTGATATTCGACAAAGTACAAACCGTGTTTTTATTTGATAATTTTAATGTTTAATTACTTCCCTTGAAAAGCTTAGATCAGATCGCCGAGCTAAAAGTTGGATTTGTTTGAAATTCAGTTGCTGAGTTTTTGCAAGTATGGTTTTATTTTTAATGTCGTACGTTTACTAAGTGCCCAACTAATGTAAAACTATTCGTCCAAATTTAGGCAAAGTGCTTATAGAACTTCTATCTAATTTCTGTTTGAAATTTCTCACCACCTTAAAGTTTTTTCCTGTCTATATTGTTGTTTAGAAATGATGCCCTGTCTACATAATTACATAACAGTGGACCGTGAGGCTTTCCTGGCAAATACTTCACGTATTGAACAAATTACTGCTATGTGTTTAGAGGTAGATATTACAGTTAATTCACTAATTAAAAAATTTATGAAAGTTTCTGTATTAAACTGAACAAAACCAATATTTCTTATTACAACTATTCATCTTCAGTTGGTTTAGACTACTAGGCAAAAAGTATCAGGCGTACGATTAACATCATTACACTTCTCTAATGTATTTCGAAAGAGTTTGCTCTATTTTACTTTGTGGAATTTTGCCTTCAGAAATAGAGGACGTTCGTAGGTTGCTGTTGTTTGCTATATATAAATTCAATCGCTATATTTTATCGCAAATTTATTGTGAGTATATTCCTGTTCCGTAAAAAAATTTAATCGCACTTTAGCTTATTTGACTTGCACACCCAGTAATTTTAATGGTTTTGCATTTTTCGTGAGACCTCATAGTACTGAACTGGATTCTTGGTGTAGGAAGTGATTAACTAGAGATAAATTTCTTGAATATGTCTCTACATTGTCACACAGTCTTAGCAGGGCTATGGTCAAAACAGATAACGATATATATAGCCCACAATTGTAATCCGTTTCTAAAATATAAATTAACACAATTAGTACAAAAAAACGTAGTAGTCATCTACAGAGAAAGCCGTAAACACATGCATACCGAATAGTAACGGCGACAACGAAAATGAATAAATATGTTTATGTAACTGGTACAATTTCATGATTGTTAATTAAAAAAAGGGCTGGAGTAATAAATAGTCTGGGATGAAATGAGTTTTAAGTTTTAAGCGTTTAATACAAATATTATTGGTTTATTTACTTTTCAATATAGTGAAAATTCCCATTTTGCCATTTTGTAAATAAAGAAGGAACGAATTGAGCGAAGAAAACTAATTGAAAAGAAATTTCTTCTCTCAATTCGTTCCTTCTTTATTTACTTTTATCGATAGATTGACACCCTTCTCCTGAAACGACCACTACGTCGTTTGTCAGCATTCTTTTCTGTAGGACCATCTAATTCTTCGGGTAAACGTAAATTTCGTACTGTAAGGGTAATGATTTCGGTTGCAGTTTCTATCAAGCAGTCGTGTTAGGCCCACAGTTTACCTGCTTTGACCATAGCACTCCTTCCCTCGTGATAAAGTCGTAGAGGTGTCAGCAACCGCCGATCTTTCGACTCGTTAAACAGTGGGTTGGCAATAGCATATTAAAGTATATTCGTTTGTTCTCTTAATGGCAAGGGAGTGAAATTTAACTTTATATCTTCGTCAGGCACGTTCTCTGTCAATTTTCTCTTCGTCAATAGAATATCGTTCGCTTGTAAGTATAAGTCTTATATAGCAGTCGGTGTTCTATTTACGCAACCAGGTTGCCTAGCGTCATGACTAAACTTTTATCAGCCTTATTACTGATAGTGGTTCATTATCTTCTTCAACCCTCTATTCCATCTCTTGCAAAGCTGATACATTCCATCCAATCAAAAACTTGACTCTGTCGTTTCTAACCTTAGGGAACTTTACCTTAAATGAATCCATGAAGACATCTGAAGCGAACTGTCCTATATATTTAGGTCAACATTTTTAGCTATCCGTACCTTTAGAATCCGAATTGACAACGTGGAATCTAGTGGTGAGCGTTTAACTCAAATATTGTCGGTCGATTCACTTATCGATAAGGATTAACAATTGATTGGGTCGTGGATGCACATAGCGTGGTGATCCGGTGGTTATGGCCTCTTACTCCCATCCGTCAATTCGCAGACTCAAACTTTGCTCTATCTATGTTAGTTTGGACAACCAAGTAGTAGTAGTAGTATCACTAGCCCTTATATTTAGAGTGCAGTTCAAAACCAAATACATGAATGTGTACTTGATGAATTAGCTAAATAAATAAATAAATCAACACATCTCTAATCTTTTTAATCCCAGTAGGTTCTTTATACTTTCCAAGTTTGGACTGTTACATTATAGTTTTTTTATCGTTAGTCAATAAAAGGTCGTTTTGTTTATTCTCTATTGCATTTTACTTTACCTAATATTTGTCTCCATAGGTGTTCTCAATGGATGACCAAGAAAGACTACAAATGCATGCTGCAAAATTACTTGAAGTTATTTTACTTGATTATCGAGGTCAAGTGAATCAGTATGTACCAAAATATGTTGAGCTAGCACTTACACGTCTTACACGCCCGCTTGTTTCAAGTGAACTTAGAACACTCTGTATGCAGGTAATTTTTTTTTCGGAAACATTCGCTTAAGTTTATGTTCAAGGTAAGAGGGTCTTGGTTGATGTCATATATAGCCTAATAGAGGAGTGAATGGCGCATAAATTTGCACTTATCTCAGCGAAACAACTAAGAAATAGATTTAATGTCTACCTGCGATTTTAGTTTTTCGCCATAAACTGGTATCAGTTAGAGAAAACTACCAAAAATTGACAATCACAAAACAGCCGCTTCTCTCTGGTTTGTGAGATAGTTTTTCATTGTAGGAAGCTGTTTGCAGATTGGAAACATTTCTATAAACTAATGATTTGAGTATTTTAAATTATGAACGAACTATGTGTTACGTCCTCTACTTGATTACGGTAGAATACGATGTACAACTAATGGGACTCCAACATGTAGAACCTCACACTCGCAAATCAGAAGATAGGAGAACGGTAGGAATCAAAAACAGAAAAGAAAAACATGGGTTATTAGTCTTGACTATAGCATCATCATAATTCAGCCAATCCACAAAGAGGCAAGTTATACTATTGTCCAATCGTGGCATGCCACGTTAGTATTCTAGAAGGCTGTATCAAGTTCTGTTTGGATGGAATCTCTGGCTCCTATAGAGCCTCTTGTGGTCTCGTGCTTTTCTAAGCCATCTTGACACTATGCTACCTACCCTTTTTACCATGATAGTTTGGTTTCCAGAATGATATTGACTGTTATTTTTCCCATTACATCTTACCCATGCTTCGAAGCTTCTAATTATTTCCATTGCCAACGCTCAATTACAAATAGATTGTTCCAATCTGTCATCATATTTGCATTCTATTATTCAACCCCAACTATTTCGTGCAGAACTTGATAAATTAACTCATCTAAAACAATCTGTAATTTTCCCGTCAAGTAATCATTTATTTTAATAACCTTATTTATATTAACAATCAGGTGGTAATTGCTGGATTGCTTTACTCACCTATGGATATGCTTCATATGATGATCGAGCATCCATGGCCTGGGACAGAGGTTAACATTTTGTCCGAATTCCTTAAACGATGGATTGAAGATGCAGACTGTTTCCTTGGGTAAGTGGTTTTTTAGTTTAGTTGTTGACTAATATATGTGCATAAGATTGTTTAATTAAAAAAGTATGATGTCTGCTTGCTTCGTACTTAAGAAACTGAGAAAGTCAATAACCTTAACCAAACTGTCACCCCAAAGCCTTTATAGATCGGTTAGTAATACAAATCCCATAGTATGGGTTTCTTTGTATAAAGCAGCTGGCATTCAAACTTACATTTTCTCTTATGTTACTGCATTTCGTCTGGGTCTAGATTACTTATACAAGTAGCAGTAACAGCTTTTTGTGTATTGATTGGCCTTAAATGTTTCAACTTTCGCTTTCCTTATAAAAACTTTCAATACTATGGCAGTCTATCCACCTTAGTCTTCTCTCCGACTCAAATCAATAGCTTGGTGATTCACTCATCCAATCTCAGATTCAAGCTCCATTATAACTACTCCAGTTCAAGAGGCTGGATAATATCACCAACATAAACAATACTAATATGATTTTAATCTGAGCACATAAATCCGTTCTTAATAGATAAGTCGCATTAAATTAAAAATGAACTATATCAACTCATACAGTTCGCTTGGGTAAGTTACTTTTATTTGAGAAAATTTCGATCGTTGTTTTTCGTGTATACAGAAACTTTCTGAATATCCAGTCATTGGTGTTGTTAAATCACTTTGAATATTTCTCTTTCATAATACCATAGAAATAATCTGTGTAGTAATTTTAAAACTGGACTGTTGAAGAAAATAAGCCCCAATTATCTCATCATTATTCTGTCGTTTGTAGTGGAGTTGTATTTTTGACATCATAAATTTGATTTTCCGTTTTATAATCTATTGCTTTCAATGCACCATTACTGTATATTACTCAAAAGTCACTGGTTTTCGAACAGACCTTTTGTGAATAAGCAAACAAACTAAAAATTCTTAGAACATTACAGTGAATTATGGTCTACTAAAATGGTCTCAGTATTTCATGGAGCAATATGCATCGAAATCTCAACAAAATAACTGACAAGCGACACATTCATCAATAGTTTTTCCTGAATTTACACGAATGGCAATTGTGTTCAATTTTCTTAAATTTAAAATTCGTTAGCAAGTTTCATTTTTGTTCAAGTAAATCAGATGAAAACGATGTTTCTCTTCTTTAGATTGCATGATCGCCGCCTCTGTGTCTTAGGACTTTGTTTGATTATTTCTCTTCCGGTTGATAAACGAACTGATGCAATTGTAACATTCAGTGAAAAGTATATACCATCACTTCTACTGCTATTTTCTGGACTGAAAAAGGCGTACGCAACAAAAGCTTCCAATCAAAATGAGGATGGTAGGGCTTTTTCTCACTTCCATCCTTATTTATTTGATAACTATTTTTCCTTAATCAATTTATTGAGCGATTTTTTGGGGATTGTTGAATTTCCGTACTTTATATCGTAGGATGTCGTAGACCACCATTTAAAATCAAAGAGCATTAAACAACTTTTTCGTCATTGCAAGGGAGTCCTCCTCAATGAGAACACAGCATCCAACCATTCGGGATGGAATTCAAGACTTCACAATGGTATGGATGTCTAACTTCACTCAATTCACGATTTCGCGCAACCACGTTTCATTTTCTGTGGTAGATAATTTTCACACCCGACATGACCAAACTCCACTAGTCATGTCTTCTCACTATTATTGGATCCGAAAGTTAGTTACCACGAGTACGGGATTTCTTTAAGTGTTGGGGAAATTTGTGGCGATTGTTAAATTTTCATCGTTTACATCACAAACTGTTCGAAGTTTCTGAGTTCGTCTCTCGGTTTTATCGTGAACACATACGTCTGATTTTCCATACTGGAATGAAACACTCGTCCAGTGTTTTCTATAGTCGCGGTAATAAGTTTCAGTGCGAAGGTGGAGTATCGGGTAGACCCCTAGGGCTTACCATGTGGCATCATATATTTACGTGAAGACCGTTCAATTTTCAAGGTAGTGTACTTCGTTTACTCTGGTTGGTGCTCTTGTATAACAGGGTTTTGTTTCACAAAGTGAACTTGCCCCAACTCAAAACACGTTATCCGGGTTTATGACCAGTAGTAGTAGTAGTAGTAGCCCTAGAGGGGGTTCCAGGTGGAGTAATTAAATTCCTGTAATTTGTAGACAAGTACTTATCACTAATTTTCTCTTTATACTAAGTAAATATATGCTTGATTTCTCAAACACAATTGATATCTCTATCTTCTATCTGTTTCTAGATTCGGATGAAGAAGAATCTGAAACAGAGGAAGATTTAGAGGGTAAAGCTTTGGGAAGCGATGAAGATGAAGTAGACGAAGAAAGTGTTCGTTATTTAGAAATGTTAGAGGCAACTGTAAGCTTTTTTATATATTCGATGTATTTATTTTTGTTTCACCATCGCTTTACATTGATTGAGAAAAAACATGTGAATTGTTGTCTTGCCTTTTTATTTCTGGCTAATCGTTTTTATGATTTGTTTATTATTGTACTATAATATTTTTTACAGCGTCATGTTATTTAAGGCAAAATAATTAATTCACTTACTACGTACTTAGGTATGAGTCGCAATGCATGTGTAAATCTAATGATACTACTCTGTCGCCCGAACCTTTAGTCGATGGATTGGGATCAAACCTGGGACTTAGTGACTAAAAGTCGATGTCTGTAACTGATAAATAGGAACCAAATTGTTAAATAGACCTAGTTTACCCAGAACATTATATTTCACCTCAATCTTCCCAAATCAAAACCACAGTTAAAAGGAAACAGTGTGTACTCTAATAAATTCAAGCAGTAAAGATGTTAGATTTTGTATAAAATGTTTATAGAAGTTTTTTTATTCCTCGACTCTCCCATTGACTCGGATCATTTTAAAATGCTCCAATCAGTGTATTCTGATTTTACCCTTTGCTAAATCTACATTAGGTAGAACTGTGTCCTTCTAACAATTTGTGCTATTATCCACCCTTATTCCTATAAAATGATGATCCCAGTTACATTTTCTCCTGAACATTTAACACTTAATAACAAGTTATCGTGGATTAAAAGATAAACTCATGGTGCTGTGTTTCTTTGTAAAACGTACATTAGTTAACATAGTTTAATCCTTACTATTATATATACTACATCAGTGTTTTTTTAGTTTCTCTCATTCTTTAAATTGTTTGAAAATCCAATTTTAATAGAATAACCATAGTTCAATGAAACAAACCATTTTTTCCTATGTGATATGATTAATTGTCACGTTTCCAGTAAAGCACACCCCTTTTTACTAATGCGATCACGATATTTCAGCATTCTAAATAAAAGCAGTTATAAACAGTCATTCATTAGCGAGTCATGTGTTTACTTGATTCAAGGGTTATTAATTTGCATGGAAAAATAAGAAAAAACCCATTTTCATCAATCGACAGTCTAATTACGTTGTGCTCACTGTTGAAGAAAAAACAGCATCTTGTAATATAAATGCTAACACCACTTCATGCAATAGTCACTTTCACTTTTTTTTTCAAGTGGTGTTCGTCAGGTTTGTCCACTCTCTCCATTCTTGTTCAACTTTGTCGTAGACGTACTTTTAGAGATAACACTTTCCTCGTCTAGATTTCCAGGGGTTGAACTTCTACCGGGAGGTTCACTTGTTGGCTTAGAATATGCTGATGACATAGTTTTATTTGATGGAGACGCTGACAAAATGCAGTCCTCTGACCACTCTAAGCAACAATGCAAGCACGTTCGGGATGCGATTCTCCCCCTTCGAAATGTAGGATGTTGCTTCAGGATTGGGTTGCATTGACACCCGAACTAATGATAGGGCGTGAAGTAATTGAGCGTGTCGATCGCTCCACTTATCTTGGAAGTCTCATCAGCCCTTGTGGTCTGGTGTGTGACGAAATCTCAGCACGGATACAGAAGGCTCGACTAGCTTTTACCAACTTGCGTCATTTATGGCGTAGGCGAGATATCCGTCTATCAACCAAAGGACGTGTTTACTGCGCAGCTGTTCGTCCTGTCCTACTTTATGGCAGTGAAACATGGCCGGTAAGAGTAGAGGATATTCGTAGGTTACTAGTATTTGATCATAGGTGTCTTCGAAACATAGCTCGTATATCCTGGGACCATCGAGTAAATAACGCAGTTGTTAGGAAACGGGTACTGGGTAAGGATGGCAAATCAATTGATGACGTAGTGAAACTTCATCAGTTGAGATGGCTGGGACACGTGTTACGTATGCCCAACGACCGGCTGCCTCGACGTGCGATGTTCAGTGGTATAGGAGTAGGCTGGAAGAAAGGTAGGGGCGGCCAAACCGAAACATGGCACAAGTCCATGAAGTCACTGACAAGTGGTCTGAGTCATGTCAGTAGGTGTAGACTACCTGGTTGGGGACCGCGAGATGATAGCAACCGATGGTTAGAGACCCTGAGTGACATGGCTCAAAATCGTTTTCAATGGCGCAGGTGTATCCACTCTTTGTGTTCTCCCAAATTTTGATCTCCTTATTCCTCCTTGTCTCTTTTTTTTCTCTTCCCAAATTTATTTCGCTGTATTATACTCTTTAAATAACTTCTTCAAACCCTAATTTTTCTGATTACAGCTTATAATTTCACTACATCTAGCACTACGGGATTTGAATCGACCACTGCATCTCTGTGCTAATGTGGTGTGGCAACTCGAACTGATGTACGTACGTACGTACGAAGTTCTACGTTGTTACTGACTGATTGAGTCCAATTTTTTAAACTCAGTCACAACCTGGTTAATAACATTTTGATGTTCCTATACGTTTTAAATCTTAATTATAGAATTTAACATATCCATTTTCAGTTTGTTACTGACATGCGATCGGTTTTTACTTTAGAAAGATTCAGATGACGACGACGATGATGATGAAGATGAGGACGATGAGGAAGAAGAAACACTCGAGGCGTTCGACACACAGATGGATAAGTCTGAATGTGATATGGATGAATATGTAACGTTTTATCGTGTAATGACTGAATTGGAACGATCTGATTATGCATGGTATAGTCAGTTGATCAATCATCTTAGTGAAGAACAACAAAATGATCTCAAAGGAGTGGTGGATACTGCTCTAAAATGTATCCAACAAAAAGGTAAATTTATATATATATATATATATATATATATATATATATATATATATATATATATATATATTCTCTTCATATTTCATGTGTTCAAGGAAATAATTATGAGGTACTGATCATATTTAATTCATAAAAACGCACAATGTGATATCCTTCAACTCTGTGTTTGTTCATAATGACATCTTTAATGGTCTCGTGTTTTTACGAATCATGATATTTTAGCGCTTAAATATGCTACAGCAAAACTCTATTGTATCTTCCAAAAAAGCGTTACGTTGTGGTCATTCATTGTTCCCACTTTCCTATACGAATTAGTTTAACAGGTAGTGAATGGTTTGGTCTTTTCGAGACTCTGACTAATCGTGATTATGTCAAGTGTGCACATATCAACTGACAACGACAACTGGATTTGTGAATAAATTTGTTTTATTATCCAAGCTGACTTAATAAACGTAGAGCGTGACTGTAGTGTGAATTAGCTTAAGTTGACACAACACATTAACATGTCGAGATAAAATGGTGTAGAAATGATCGTAAAAAAGACTTCATATTAAGAATGTAGTTGAAAATGATTGAATATAAAAGTATTTGGAAAGGCATAATGAATACGTCTGGCTATTGTAACGGATTCTGAACAGTGTGACCTGACATCTATTGGTTATGATCGCGCCAATCATGCAGTTTCCACCTATCAACATGACAGATTAATAACCGGTCAGTCAGTGGCTTCATGAACTGATGAAACTTTCTGATATAGTTGTCGTTGTTTTGATCTGTTTCTGACGTTCTACGTTGGGTATGACTAACTATCCAGTATGCGTGGTCTATAGAGTATCAGGTACGAAATGGAGAGGACGAAAAACTAATGTCCGACGCCTTTACCGAGTTGATAAATACGAATGATCCACTCAGGGGAGTTGAAAAACCCTGATTACAAACCAATAGCGCACATAGGCTACAGGATCTTAAGGGAAAAGATGGCGTATGAACCTATTGTTCAACACCGGCTACTATTGGACTACATTTGCTGACGTTGCTACACTGCCTTGGATCAGACCTTTAGGTCGAAGGTTCCGGGCGTGCCCCCCTAAGAAAACCACCTGTTTCAGGCTGGACACCCGGGCAGTATCATAGCCCACACACAAATCAAATGAGATTTGTGTGGCGCATATGTATTCGGTGCTCATTTGTACCAATATATATATGTCCAAATAAAATAAATGCAGCGTTGATACACGACACCATTCATCATGGTACTGTAAGGATCTATTAGCAGAGTGCAAATTCTTCACATAGTTAAGTATGAATCAGAACACATTTGAATCATTATGGTTGTTTGTAATTTACTCACTTGATTTCAAGATAAATCTATTTTCAATTTAGTTCAGATTGCCTCCATTATACACATAGAGTATATCTCGTCTGTTTCTCATAAATCTAACAAAATATTTTCCAATTTATATTTCAGAGTCTAAAATTATTGAACAAGCTGGAGGATATACTTTTTCACCAACTATCCCTAGTAGCTTTGATTTCGGTTCACCCAATGGACAACTTAAATAATCTATGTGTTATAAACTCTGTTGTAAGGAATTAAGTATTAGTTTATGATACTTTTTTTCTCTCTGTATAGGATATGTTATAGTCTAATAAACATGTAAACAAAACTTTCATAATTACAATTTACTTAACTCCATTAAATGTGCGCGCTACCCATTATGCTATTCTTATTTCATAAATAATCTGGTAACTATAATTTTGTTCTCTCTTCAGTTTGTTTTCCTTTTATCATTGTACACATGTATTCCTCTTCTTTGTCTTCGTCTTCTGTATGCTCTTATTGTCAATGTTTACTATTTCTAACTTTGTGTTTCTTGTTCAACTGACACTAATCCATGATCTTTGTCTGTAATGCTTCTATTCTTCTCCCCCATTCGTAAATATTCTATATTGCACACACACATATATATTTGTGTTTTGTTTTTCTTTTTTCCATTAATCAATGCATGAAATGAAAAACTAACCAAATATATAATTCGTGTTCAACAGAGATTTGATTGTGACTTATTTGTTGGTAAATATTTTTCTTATGTATTCAAAGAAAATTGTGTTTTTTTTGTTTTTATATCCCTGTTTTTTCAATATTAGTTCCCCCTTCTTTCTTTTTTTTTGAGAAAAAAGAAAGAAAGAAAAGATCTTGTTAACGACTGCATTATAAAACTGTGGTTAATTTTCTTGCTTATTTTTGCTCTTTTTTAAGACATTCAATTTCTCAGATCACTGCTTCTTGAAAGAAAAAAATATCTAACTAGTACAGTGTTATAATCCTCTATGAAATTTGATTTGCTTTTACAAAATAAAATCTATTCAGTTTTGCTTTGTGGTGTATTCTTTGTTTGTTTGTTTAACGATTAAATTACTTGATGTGGTGTACTGAATAACTCCGCCTGTAGCTCTTCTAGAATTACTGCCGGTCCCAAGTTCAGGCATGGGGTTAGCGACCCTGTCCCATAGAAAACTAACTCGCTAAAAAACGCTAGCTAGAAAAAATATATCAAACCATTTAATAAAAGTGCTGGTGGGCCTATGCTCCACCACGAAGAGTAACAGGCGTAAGTAAGTAAGATGTATTGAACATTTCGTAGAGTTTAATGTTTCAATATCGTTTGAAGTAGTAGTCTCATTGTATGTTAATATTTAAGTATAGTGAATAGTAATATGGAAACTGTGAGTACATAATCGTAACAACTCAGTTTGAATTTTGTATTGGGTTTTTCTTAAAACGAGATTAATGAGAAATTTTTTCAAAGCATATGTAGATTCGGTATAAATGCTTTGAATTTCTCATAACTATTGGGATTATACACACTGATTTTATCGGTCATGAAACTACTATTTTCTAACTGTACATCGGGTTAATTACATTTCTTTATGCGGAATTAGTATGGCAACTTGGCATGTTCAGTGTTTTTAATTTTTCATGGATTCGGTTATTTAGCGTTACTACTTGCAGTAGAAATTAATTTATGATCGCGAGATAATAGTGCTAATTGATTGGGAGCTTTACTGTTTGATTCTGAGATGAAATGTGAATGATTTTAGAGAGATTGTCTTCCTAGAGCTGAGTGGTTTATTCATGACTATTTTTACACCAGATGGTAAGCACGTACATTATGACTATTCCACCTTCAAATACACGTGATCGCCAAATTATGTTCCAGATGTTAAGTCGATTAATAATAACTTCTACAATATTTACATTCGAAAAACAGTAGTTATTTGCACTACAGCAATAATACCTTGTGTGATTATAGGCTCCAACCGTACAATCGTCATTACTTTGTAGTATAAGAATGTACTTTCTTTTAGTTAAATCCGATTAATCTGTACGACAAATGAACATTTGTTTTGTGGTATAGTGTAGTGATTCCCTGCAGCACCCACATACGACCTCATCAGTGATCGAACGCAAAGGCAAACTAAAACGAAACAAATATACACTGTCTTCCTGGTTTTTAATATTTGTCCAGCTGATGTCAGTTCGTGATAGGAATAAACTTCAGTTGTGGAGTTGGATAGCTGTAATTAATGCAACATCAATTTTTATTTAAAATGTTTTTATGGAGATCGGATTAATTTTTAGACATTCGTTAGACTGAGCTCATTCGAGGTACTATCGAAAACCAAAAGAACACTGAATATTTGTTTCGCCCTAGTATCGGACTTATCAGCAGTGTACACCCACGAACCGATCAGAGATTTAACTGAGGACCTTCAAGCCTTCCGGCATTCAGAGATGTCTGAAGTTCTAGTGATAGATCGTGAGAAGTGGAGTTCAGGAGTGAAACATTTGTTGCCAATGTCATCAGATAGTGGTTGTGCCGTATCGCAAATTGATTGAAGTTGGAATTCTACCATGAGACGCCGACCCAGGAGTTCTAATGGCTAAGTGTACACTGGTATGCCCTCATATGGCCACGCGTATACAGCCACCGTCAGGGAAGTCCTACTCACTTCCTTCTCGCGGCGGGGGGTTGCCTACGAAAATGAGAGGATGGAAAACCTATGTCCGCCGCTTTAACCGGGCTTGTGGAGACGGAGAATCAACCTACGGGAGTTAGAAAACCCTGCATCCAAACCAATGGTGTACATGGGCTCTAGTATCCTGAGGGAACAAATGATGTATGAGCCAATTATTGGTCACGGGCTACCATGGGACTGGATCTCCTGATGTTGCTCCACTGCCTTGTAAATTAGATCTTTAGGTCGAAAGCTCCAGGCGTGACCTCCTAAGAAAACCATCTGCTTCGGTCTGGGCACCCTGACAGTATCACTTCCCACACACAAATCAGGTGACTTGTCTGACACATATGCATTCAGTGCTCCTTAGTACCAATATTTTTGTGTTCAAATAAATAAACTGAAACTTGAATATACTGATTTCTATCCTTTATGGGGTGATGGGTGTGCCGTGCTGAGAAGTCCTATACTAGTATGAGACAACTGTTCAGTTCTACCTGGTTTCCTATGGTATGCCAGGTGATATCATTCTATGATGTCTACTATGTACAGTTCCGTATGGATATTAGAGTTCAGCTAACTTACTAAGACTTTAGGGAAGTTTTACTATTATAGTCAATTTGCATGTAATATATAACAAGCCATTCAAATTTACCATCTGTCATGAAATTGAGACCATTTACCTGTATATTTTCATTCTTATACAAGTTGCCACTTGCACAAATTTACAGTTTACCTCACTAATTAAATTAAGTATTGCATTACAACTGTAAATAGTTATGAAAAAAAAACACTGTCAGTTCCAGCTCCTAGTCACATTGTTGCTACTTAAAAATAATATCTGAACTGAATTCATTAGCCAAAAATTTATTACACAACAGCAGTAGTTATATGAAAAACATCAACATTTTATTTACATAAATATTTGTTTAATGACGTACCAAACACTAAACATTTTTTACAAGGTCAGCCAAATTTGAAACTCTGAATTTACGTGCCAATAACTTTTGATGTTAAATAAATTAATTATGTAAGATTAATCTTAGCCATGTCGGTAGATGCAGACTACTTGGTTGGAGTCCGTGTGACTGTCGTAATCAATGGTTGGTGACTGAGTGACATGGTTCAGAATCGATCACAATGGCATAGGTGTATACACTCTCTATCTTCCCTTAAACTATGAAATTAAAACCGCTTCATATCTTTCTTTCTACGTACTAATTCTTTCTTCCTGTACTATATCCTTATATGCAATCCTTTTTATGTATTAGCACCATTGAATTAACTTCTTCGATGAATCTGGTGTTGATCTTGTTGTGCTAATGAGGTATGGCAACTTGGACCGATTCATATATGTGCGTGGTCCTACGTTGTAGTTGACTGACTGTAAGATTAATCATAGTGACGATTTTCAGCAGAACGCTTATCTGTTAATTATTTCTTCTAAACATAAACCACTGAATAACCCTATATTTGGCTTAGAACCATAATCGATGTATAAATTCTATTAATATTACTCGACTGTCGGAAGCCAGCTAAGTGGAAGGGGTTTGAACTCTTACTTAAGACCTACTGGCTGGGAATTGTATAGCCCAACCACTAAGCTACTTCTGAATTACATTTACTTATTCTGATCATTATTAAATTCTTACTAAATTTTATTATCTGATAGTAACTTACTTCAGTTTCTTGGTTTTAATATGCAAAAGTTTCTGAAGCATAACTTCATGTCCTAGTCACTGAGATGGTTTACAAATAATTTGTTCTACTCCTGGGACCATCGAGTAAGTAATGCAGTTGTTAGGAAACGGGTACGAGGTAAGGATAGCAAATCAATTGATGATGGCTGGGACACGTGTTACGTATGCCCAACGACCGACTGCCTCGACGTGCGATGTTCAGTGGTATAGGAGGAGGTTGGAAGAAAGCTAGAGGCGGCCAAACCAAAACATGGCACAAATCCATGAAGTCACTGACAAGTGGTCTGAGTCATGTTGGTAGGTGTAGACTACCTGGTTGGGGACCGCGAGATGATAGCAACCGATGGTTAGATACCCTGAATGACATGGCTCAAAATCGTTTGCAATGGCGCAGGTGTATCCACTCTTTGTGTTCTCCCAAATTTTGATCTCCTTATTCCTCCTTGTCTTTTTTTCTTCTCTCAAATTTATTTCACTGTATTATACTCTTTAAATAACATCTCCAAACACTAATCTTCCTGATTACTGCTTATACTCTTATTACCTCTACCACTACGGGATTTGAATCGACCACTGCATCTCTATGCTAATGTGGTGTGGCAACTCGAACTGATGTACGTACGTACGTACGAAGTTCTACGTTTTTACTGACTGACTGAATTTGTTCTATTAATACATTGTTATTAGAAGTCGAATTACTCACTGATAACATTAAATGAATATCGGTAAGTAATTGAATTGTAAAGATGAAGAATTTTGAATTTTATCTCTGAACAAAGTGCTGTGGTGTTACCTGATTGACTTAAAAATATTAAGTTCATTCTCATTTTGTTTCATGAACGG